TTGCTAATTATTAATACATCGGGACGAGTTTGGTATCTACCCCACTTCGGGGTCTATCACCGGAAAAAGCCTGGTCAAGTTCGTGTTGTTTTCGACTCTTCAGCTGAATATCAGGGTATTTCCTTAAATAAGATGCTCTTACCGGGTCCTGACCAGATGAACAGTCTTCTCGGTGTTTTATTTCGCTTCCGGCAAGAACGATGTGCGATATCGAACAAATGTTCCACTCCTTTTATGTGACACCTTCAGACAGAGATTTCCTGAGGCTCCTGTGGTTTAAAGATAATAACCCTTTGGAGAAGATTGTGGAATATCGTATTGTAGTACATCTGTTCGGCAATGTTTCGAGTCCAGCAATTGCCACCTTTGGCGTGAGAAGGACAGCCGAAGAAACACAGATAGAATTCGGTACAGCCGCTAAGAATTTTGTCCACAAAGACTTTTATGTCGATGACGGGGGCTTACTTTGCAGTCAACAGAAAAAGAAGCAATCACCTTGGTAAAATCCGCACAAGCTATGTTAGCGACTGCTCAAATTCATTTGCACAAGATCGTATCCAATTCTGTCGCCGTTATGGAAGAACTACCCATGGAAGATAGAGGGAAAAGCGTTCAAGACCTAGATTTCCGTCTCGATAGTCTTCCATCACAATGATCTTTAGGAGTCCAATGGGACCTAGAAAAAGATTTGTTTACCTTTTGTGTAGCCCTACCCAACCAACCATATACACGTGTAGAAGTCTACTTTCCGTGATCAACTCAGTGTACGACCCATTCGGAGTTGCCACCCCAGTCGTCCCGAAGGGAAAACTTCTACTTCGAAAACTAGTCATCTTAGGGAAGAAGGACAGTGATACCCCTTTAGCTTGGGACGACCCACTGCCCAGCAACCTTACGACTGAATGGAATCTATGGAAAGATGCCCTCCATGATTTGGAAGACATTGCACTTCCGAGATGTTACCATCCTAGGGACTTTGGATGAGTTGTTCAATCAAAGATACATTCTTTTTCCGACGCAAGCGAGGTCGGTATAGGAGTTGCTACCTATCTTAGACAGACAAATGAAGACAACGAAGTAAATATCTCATTTCTGTTTGGTCAGGCCAGACTGGCTTAGCACTTGACAACAACTTTCTGGTGGGACAATTTTGACAGAAATGTTGAAACTGCGAGTGGAGCAGGGTCGATTCACAATACACCTGGCATAGTGTTCCAAGAAGAAAGCGAGTCCACAGTCATCGCAAATACCACGGTCAGCATAACGAAGTCTAAGCGACGATCACTATCACTACCTATCTTAGACAGACAAATGAAGACAACAAAGTAAATATCTCATTTCTGTTTGGTCAGGCCAGACTGGCTTAGCACTTGAGCAGTTTGCTTATGTTGTACTTTGCATGGCGAGATGAAACAGATCTTCGAAGTACTGATCAAATGTACACATCCAAATTTTATGAACCTGACATTCAGGCTTTTATTGAACAAAACAGGGCAAAGTTTGAACCTGACGCTGATGCTATAACTGAGGCACTAGAAGTAATCAGAAACAATCCAGGAAATATTCATTTGATTAAATGAAAGATCAGGAAAATTTAAATCTCAGAAATGAGACACCAATGATATGGTTCTCTCATGGTGCAGACAATTAATAAAAAATTTTAATAGTGTAAAACCTGTTGAGGTAAAACCAATCTATCTTTTTTCTAACTGGAGGTGGTGGTGCAGGCAAAAGTCACTTGATTAAAACAATGTATCATACAGATGATGCAAGATACGAGACTTTAAACATCTTACTTTTAACCCTGTGTTACCAACTGTTTTGTTATTGTCACCAACAGGTGTAGCAGCAATAATTATTGATGGACAACTGTTAATACTGGGCTTGCCCTTCCTAAAGAAATTAGTGATAATCTTTCTGGAATGTCTAAACAAAAGAAGACACAGTACAGAATTTCTTAAAAAAAACAAAAACTTATAATTATAGATGAAATATTCATGGTTGGAAACATAACACTATTGCATATCCACCAACATTTAAAAAAACTTTTTGGTGTGTTATCAACTGATTTATTTGCAGGCATTAGTATTATCTGTGGGTGATCTGTATCAGCTTCCTCCAATAAAAAAGAATGTCATTTTTATAATTACAAAATGGAAACTCACAACCTTTGTCATCCATGGCATGTCTTCAAAATGGTTGAACAGAAATCATGAGACAAAAAAATGACAAGGCATTTAGTGAACTTCTTAATAGAATTAGAACAGCTTTGCATACAGATAAATATTAAAGTCCCTCAGTCCAGATGTATAACACCATCCAATTCTTACTATCCATCTGATGCTCTTCACATTTGGGCTGAGAATGCTCCTGTTAATAAACATAACCAAAATAAACTCAAAACAATTCAAGCACCGCTATTCATTCTTAAAGCAAAAGATCAATATCCCAAAAATCTCAATAAACAAGATATCAATAGATTTCCAGCAAGAGGACGATCAGTAACAGGTGGACTTGATTTGGAAATTCAAATTAAAGAATCCGCCAGAATAATGCTCACTAGTAATATCATTATACAAGATAGACTTATCAATGGCCAAATGGGAACTGTTTTTAGAGTTCATGTGAACGTCAATAAGGGGCCAACTGCTCTATACATAAAATTTGATGATGAAAATCCTGGGAAAAGAATAATAAACACTAATGGCAATTCTTTTGCAAGAGAAAATCATGTTAAAAATCAAAGTTAAACCAGACAAAGCCTCCTTCCCTGAAATTCAGAGAATACAGTTTCCTATGGCACTTTCGTGGACATGTACTGTTCACAAAGTTCAAGGATTACTTTGGAGAATGTAGTTGTTAGCTTGGAGTTGAATAAACAAACATCTTTCAACTATGGTCAAATCTACGTAGCCTTAAGCCACGCTACCTCTTTGCAAGGTTTACACTTACTTGGACAAATACAAAGTAAACATATAAGAGCAAATCCCAAAGTTAACCAAGAATATTAGACCTCGAAACCAAGGTTCCTCCTTAACAACTTCAAATGAAAATTAATCTTATGACATCTTGGTTCTAACCATATCACTGTTGAATATTAGATCTCTAAGAAAGCATAGTAATGATGTCAAGTTACATTCACAATTGTTCAATTCTGATGTTCTTGCATTTACTGAAACTTTTACCGAATGACTCAGACACTGAAATTGCTGATAATTTTATTGTCAATATCATGATTCAGATAAATACTCCAGTATGGCCAACTGTACTAGAAACACTTTAAATGGAAGATAATGAACATTTATCTTCCCCTAATAGTTAAGTTTGTTTTTTCTACACTAAACTAGAATAATCTCAGTGCTTCCTTTTACTGTATAGAACGAACAACTCTAACATATCACAGTATATAGCAACATTGAAATATATCTTTAACATTTACGAAATTTACATGGTCTTGGTGACTTCAATATTAATTATTTTAATGACACTAAGGCCCGTATTCAAAAAGCTCACTCACACTCACACTCATTGAGTGTGACATATAAATTTTGTTAATGCTGATCAATGAGAAAGTTTTCTCTCAATAGATGAAAAGATATAAGGTAAATCACTGAAAATCAAGCCCCTGTTCGGCTGAAAATACCGCCATTGAAACGTTATGAGAAGATTAAGATCTCCCACTCAATGAGTTTGAGTGTGAGTGAGCTTTTAGAATACAGGCGTCATTCTCAATCACTGATGTCATTAATGGAATCTGTAAACTATACCAAAGTTGTTACCGAGCCTACATTTGTTTCTGCTGGTAGTTAATTGGACCATGTCTATGTTAGGCCTACTTCTGTATGAATAATTAACAATTCCGTAGTGGGCATTTATTATTCTGGCCATGATGCTATTGTCACCTCACTACAGTTTTCAAATCATTTTTAGCAATATTCTGTAAATACTAACTACAGCGTATTCCAATTTTTCTTTTTCATTATTCGCATGCCAGCCATAGTAAATCGTATTGTATAATACCTCAACTGTACATACTGTATCAGTTCCAATCTTTTCCCAACAGTGACAGAAATCATATCTAAATATCAAGATGTGAGAAGACATCCCCACAACCCAGGGTGGCATCATCTCTAGTGCGTTCTTTCCCAGATGATTTAGTGGATTTCTTAAAAAGTAATGGTACAGTAAGATTTGTCCATTTCATATACCTACTGTATACGGTAACTTAGCATGATCATTATGATCAAATAACTGATCAATTTTACGTTTTTTTTAGATTGAAATCCAGCCACGAAAGGTCAACTTTACATGAAAAATCACTCTACATTGGTAAGCAACTAATTATATACATATACAATATAATTTTATTATGTATACAAATACTGTACAGGATTTCTCATTTCCAACTGTGAGTCCACTTTCCTGTAATCCTGTGATCTTCAAGGAACTCTGTACTCTAATTATCCTACTGGCGTTTTTTCCTTTTTGAAAAATGCATGTTATCTTCAAAATCCCAAACTTTTGTTTTGCGGCTTGAAAGCAGCATGACTTTTTATAATGATATATTTCTCTACTTTCTTAAAACAGAAACATCGGCAATATCTTTTTCATGGATTGCAAATGACGCAACATTACCTTTTCCTTATTTTTAGACTTGTTTTGTGTGAACCAGGCCACAGCTAAACCAGTACTTTCACACTCACTACATCATTTCCCTTTTGTACTGTAGTAACTGATCAAGAATCGGTGTATCATTATATGTGGACAAGGACAGATTGAGCACCTTATCATCCTATACAACTTATGTGGAAATTGGTAATAATGTTGTTCCCACAACTATTGCAATCTAGGCTAAAAAAGAACCACTACGAAAAGTACATTGGTCACTAGCAATGCAATGGTAATTAACATAAGGTAAACATCTGCAAAGAACTTACTCTCAAAGTCATTTCTGAGATTATTTTGTCCAACAAACATTCATTGCAGGATTAGAACTGAAGCCTGCTTCACACTGGTCCTAAGAATCTGGGATTGTCTTTTTCTAAAGTCACTGGTGCGTAAATGCTTTGTCCATCAGAAAATAATACAATAGAACTGCAATTCTTAGGAGCTAGTATGAGCCAGCCCTTAACAACAACCACACTTGAACATTGTGCATTAACAGCTTCAACGGTATAACGACTGTCAAATCATGATTAATCATATGGCAATTGGTTATCATATCTAATCTGTTAATGGTTACAGCATGTCCATGCTGGCAAAGGAGGAAAATTCAATAGGGAATATAGTCTAGAGTATGCATTAAAAAATTTAAGGAGTATATACAAAATAGACATTAAAGAGAAATATAGAAATATAACCTAAAGTTTTTTAACACCTAATGAAGCATGTACGTCATCATATATGCCACAAGTATCAGAAAGACCTAAAGGTCGACCAGCAAGCAATTTAGCCTATTATGATCTAAGCTGTGCTAAATTACGTGGAAAAAATATACGAGGAGAAATAAAAAACAACAATAGGGTGGTTATATTTCATTTTATACGGCAATGTCAAAAGGTGCAAGATATTTAAAAAAAGCAATTAATCCTAAAACGAAACAAGGACATCTAGCACAAGCTTTTTATTCACTATATAAAATAGAAACAAGTTGTAAAATGTGTAATATAAAAAAAGAAAATTAAAGAAGCAAAAAGGAAGTTTTGGAAATTATTACAACACACCAATTAGTTACTGTATAATTCCTGGATTATAATCCGATTATAAACATATGAAAATATATTAGGGAAAAAGACAAAAAGGCGCTTCGAGATGGTTAATGGGCGAATGAAGTGTGGAGTAAAGAAAGCAAAGAAGAAAAAAATATTGGATTATTTATTGATTATAGACCAAATAATTTTTTTGTAATTAATATATAAAAAAAAAATAACATCAACATAAAACAACTGGTAAATGTATTCTTCCTTTCTTATTTCTTAAAATCCAATAGGGGCTAGGAATGCACCAACCAGGAAAAGTTGTCTTTTATTCAAATAGGAGACCGCATCAAAGAGGAATGGGTAAGCAAAAACATCAGAGAGGGAGAGGTAAAAAAATTTATCGGATAAAACAAAATGGGAAACAACAATATTATAAAGGAAAAAATATGTCTTATGAAAAAAAGGTAATGGCACAGTTTATTTTACTGAACAGGGGATTCTAGAATTTTGTTTTTGGCCTCAAATACTTTTTTGCGCATTTGCACCATGATTTGTGAGTTCCATTGTTCATTACTGGAGACAATGTGCACTGTTTTGATAGGCAAAGAAAAATTCGCTTGGAAATGTGTAACAGTTTCAAAAAGGCTATATTATGGCACATCAAGCTACGGTTGGTTTTCCATTTCAATTGCTGCTGTATGAGTTTGTTCAATTGCCGACTGCATTTGATTTGACAAAACAGGCAAATCTCTTGTCAGCAAGATGTTTAGAGCTTCCGCATTTTCTCTGGGAAGTGCATGATATGAACGTCTTCCTGCTTGCATTAGCGAGACAGGAAAATTCTGCCCAGCAATGCCATTTAGCCCAGGAATTTCAGGTCTGACTTCTCCTGGGTTGTCATCATCGTCCTCATGATAAGGTGGTAAATCTTCATTATCATCTAGAGGTTCAATTGGTGGTTCAAGCTGCCCATATGGTTGTTGAGGTGGTCGTGGCTGAATACCCTGTGGGTTTTCCTGAAACCATGGTTCAGGTTGCTGCCATGGTGGACAAAGTTCTTCAGGGTGGTGGTTGTGGAGTGGCCTGCAGGTAGTTAAATATGTTTGTTCAAAGGTAAAATGAATGCACTTTTAACCAAAACAAATGTGTAAATTGCAAATTTTTGGCCCTTTAAATACATAGGGGTGATAGGGTAAATTAGTTGTATCTAGTTACCTATACTATACATTTTTAAGTTAAATCTTTATGTGTATAATACAAGACTACTAGCGAATTAGTTGCATTTATAGTCCGACTTAAGCGACATACAAATAGTAATATAAAGCCAGTTTCAGACGTCGAAGTTTTCATGGGCCGAATTGAATTCATTAACATTAGGTTGAGCGCATGAAAAGTTCGACCTCTGAAACATGCCTAATATAGATTTGTCAATGCACTGTTGTTCACATTATTGTGCAAATACTGGGACTGGGAAATCAAAGACAGAGACTCTGTGGAATCAGAGCTATTAATATTTTTCTAGATGGCTGAAATTCCTCTTTGCTGTGCTGTATGTCGGTCTGAATGTACTGGGGCACATAAATGTTCTATATGTCACAAAACAGTACATGTTATTTGTTCAGAAGCTAGTAAAAATAATGATGATGAAGGTTATGGATCTGCTGTGGTCTGCAATAATTGTTCTGAGCAAACGAACAACCAGCCTCCTATTAAAAAGACACTGGACTGGGCCATTAAATACCCTCCAAGGACAGGCACAAACACACTCAAACATAAAAAACCTCAACCTTCTAATAAACATAACCGTCAGTTTGAAAAAGAGAAACGGTGCATTTGTTTGAACTGTTTTAAAGATGGCGACAACCCCGGCGTTTATGTTATGCAACAATAGCACGAAACAACAACATATTTCAAGGCGACATTTAGGAGAAACTATAATAGACCAGGAGGAGATGGGGGAGAAGGTCATCCAGCGAGGAAATTTACGAGACCAAGGTTTATTAATCAAGTTTGGGGTGCTGATTTCGAAAATGCATGTTATACGGACCTCCAGAGGGGCGTTTGCCTGCATTTTCGAATTGAAACCTCGCAATTACTTTTTAATTAAATTTGTATTAGCTATGCAATAAAATATGCAAATAAATGCACATAATTAACTAGCCATCGATTTAACCAATCACAACCCAGCTACAACTAAAGTTTTTATCTCGTTGGTCAGTATATTTTCCCTAGCAACACATAGCAACCAAAGAAATTCAATATATTTTCAGTGTAAAAATGCTTTAAGGAGGTAATATTAGCTTTTTAAGACTCTTTTTGGATTCTTCAAAGCTTTCTAAGTAAAACATAAGTGTTCAAATGATATTAAAACAAGTTACCCATGCTGTAAACTGATAAACAAATTTGACAGTCAGCATGGACCCTTGTTCATGTATTATTCATTACGATTTTTTGTCGACTTCTGATAAACTGATCAAGCTGAGTGAAGTGTCGTTTAAGACTTTAACTGAATGTAAGAAAATACGCGAGTCGCTTGGTGGGGAAAATCGTCACAAGGATCAATGCAAAGGTATACCGGCAGTTTTAAATGAAGAACCATTTTACTACCACAGGGAATGTTACCAAAAATTTACTTATGCTCGGGCATTGCACAAAAGAAAATTGGAGAACGAAAATGAAAACATGAAAAGCAACAAACGACCTTTGAGAGCAAGTTCTTCGACAGGTGCTGCATGCTCTAGAGGTATATTTCCCAAACAATGCATGATATGTTCAAAAGAAAGAATAAAAGTGGGCGGAAAATTTCAATTTCCAACGAAAATTGTTACTAAATCGGCTGAAGAAACACTGAAAAAGGCTGCTCAATTAAGAAATGATCACACCATGATTACTGCAGTCACAGGTATAGATTTAATAGCAAAGGAGTTTAGTAAACATCAAACGTGCTATATCAACTACACACGCATTGCAAGAGAAACGAAACCAAGTAATTTAGTTTCTTCTGAAAGAGATGTTTCCGGTGACTTTCATTCGGTTTGCAACGTGATTGACAAGCTTGTGCTAGCTCAACAAAAATGTGTTTCAATGCAAACCATAGTTTCTGCTTAGGGAATAAATGAGGGCGATAAGCAGCAGAGGTACAGATTAAAACAGCGACTGTTAAATAAATATAAAGAACAATTATTGTTTATTTCGTATGAGAAACATTCTCCACAACTCGTAATAAGCAAAGATTGCTTGGAGAAACAAAATTTAACAAATATTTTAGAGACGTCCTGCTGCAATACAGTCAAGCGAGCTGCAGCTATTCTTCGCGAGGACGTAATAAATATAATCAACGAAGCACCAACATTGCCATGGCCCCCAACCGTAGAGAGCCTAAAGTCAGATGCAAGGAGTCCCCCAGCAACCCTAGCATTGTTTTACAATCATTTGTTATCTGCCGCTAATAGTCATCACGATGCAAGTTCAAGAACCGACCGTTATGTAGATTCTTTTAGTCAAGATATTATGCATGCGGTCTCGCATGGGGATTTTGTGACACTCAAGCATGCAACGTTGGGACTTGGCCTACACAGCCTCACTGGACAAAAATTACCACTGGTAGTTCTGTCAAGACTTGGCCATTCTATCAATTACGATCGAATTTGCGAAATTGAAACCGCACAAGCTGAACTAGCCCAGCACTTCCAGTCTATGTCATTTTATACTCCTGTAATGCCTGTAGATGCAGAAAGCAAAGTGACAACAACTTTCTGGTGGGACAATTTTGACAGAAATGTTGAAACTGCGAGTGGAGCAGGGTCGATTCACAATACACCTGGCATAGTGTTCCAAGAAGAAAGCGAGTCCACAGTCATCCGCAATACCACGGTCAGCATAACGAAGTCTAAGCGACGATCACTTAAAAATCAAGAACCAGAACATTTTCCTTTTTTTACAGTCAATCCGAAGGTTGAGCCTCCATCGTTTCATGAAAATAACGCTGTTCGCGTTGAGCAAGAAGCTGAAGAAAAGTGTAACAATTTATTATTACTTTGGAAGTCAGCGCGTTATTTGTGTTCAGCTGATCAGTTGAATCCACGCTTTGTTGGATGGGTGATTTTGATGTTTAAGAAGAATGACAGCAAAGAAACAAAGATGACTTATTTGCCTCCAATCCAAAAGCCAATAACTGATTATGCAGCATTTTTTGAGATGTTCTACAAATCAAGAGAACTTGCAAAACAAGCGAACATGGCATACACACATATAACACTTGATGTAGGAGCAGCTATTAAGGCTTACCATTTAATTTGGAACAATCCTCAGGCATGGTCTGATATAATTATCCATTTGGGGGATTTGCATGCCATGATGGCATTTTTTGGCGTTATTGGCTGTTTTGTTAGTGGCAGTGGTTTTGAAGATATCCTTTTCCAAGCGGGTCTGTGCAGCAGTGGAAGTATCGAGGGTTTGCTTTCCGGCAAACATAACCGTAACTGGCTATTACATGAAGCTTTCTCAGAAGCATTGGAACGTCTTTTTGAAGAGCAGTACATACCAGAAGTTCCGGAAATGTTGGTAAAATTTGCTGAAAGTCCACCAGGTACTATTGATGTGGAGGATTTGTTGTCTGATACAACCGTTAAAAATTATATAGCACATTACAATCAGCAATTTGACAAATGCTTCAACGGGGAATTTGGAAAGACGCCACACTTTTGGGCGCTCTACATGACGATGGTTGACCGCCAACAAAAGCTCCATTATGCTATTAATACGAATGATTACAAACTTCGCTTACTAATTTGGCGAAAATCGTTACCTATGTGCTTCGCGACAAATCAAGTCCATTATTCTTGGTATGGAACTTTCTATGTGCAATATTTGGAGCATTTGGAATGTACCCATCCTGGAGCAAAGGGCGAGATCGAAGAAAATGGTGTATCTGTTAGGCGAAACACTTATGGAATAGATCAGGCTGTTGATATGGCTGGTGAACAGAGCTATATGAAAAGTGCAAAAACTGCTGGTGGAATTAGTCAATTTGCTGCTAAAGAAAGTACCGTTGCCAAGTGGGTCATGAACAGACCTTTTCAAGCACGATTCGCAGGAAGTTTGATTGAAATTGGTGATCTCTCAACGACATCATCAAACTCCAGAAAATGTCTTCGTCCCAGTGAAATTCTAAAGTCAGAAAAAATGGTCAAAAATATCATTAATGCTCTGAAAACACAGTTTCTGAATCCTTTTCAAGAGGACATTGACAAATTGAAACTATTCAACTTAGTATCCGGATGCCCAGTAGACGATGCAATCAGTGAAAGTTTGCTTTCTCTTCAAGATGACGGCATTCAAGCAATGAAATCGTTTGAGAGTCGTCTAACAACTAAGGAACCAGCGGAAACGTTCTTCGGCAAACTGAAACGAAACAAGTTCAAGTCGTGGAAAGATACATCCAAAAAGGTTGTAGCGAAGAAAGATGGAAAAGCAAAAGAGTTAGTGTTCCAAAGAGACATTCTTGGAATTCTTGTTGCACATTCCTTTCAGTATAAATCAGGTATTGATATCGATGCTGTATTACAGTACCCACTTGCGCCAGTTTCAGTTCCTCTTAGTACACATGATGGTGAAATCCGCAAAACAGTGAAAAGTAAGTTATTTGATGCTGCAATGAACGATTTGCTTATTGTTCCAAAAGAAACTCTGCCTGGTCAAGACACATTGAATACTTATTTCCTCGATGTAGCAGCTGCAGTTAGAAGCATTGTCGGGAAACCTGAAACAATACGAGAGTTGACAGCAAGAATTTTGCAGATGATTCCTTGTCAGTACACGAAAGTATTCTTGGTTTGTGATACATATGAACAAAACAGCATCAAAGCAGGTGAACGAATGGCACGAGGATCAAGCAACCGGTATTTTTTGGCAAGCCCAGATATGAAAGTGCCCTATGACTTCGCAGATTTCCTTCGTAATGGGAATAACAAAGAAATGTTATTCAATCTCATCCAGCAAGCGATTGTGCATGGAAAATCCTCTCTTAAAGGCAGAACCATATTTTTTTCCAACAAGCGAGATTGTATGATGATCAACGAAGACCAGGCGATTCTCGTTCCATCTTTATGCTGCAACCATGAAGAAGCTGATACAAAGTTGGTTGCTCTAGTTTTTGCTGCTGCTAATATGCATCCAGGGGATTCAGTCATGGTTCGGTCACCATCTGGCGATATTGACATTTTGGCATTGTTTGTTTCACATGATTTTGGAGATATAACCGTCTACATAGATAATGGGACAGGGAAGAATAGGAAAATCATCAACGTCACATCTTCAGAGCTGTCAGCAGAGGAGAAAGTTGCGCTAATTGGACTTCACACATTTTTGGGAAATGACTATGTATCGTCGTTTTTCCGCAAAGGAAAATCTGCATTCTGGAAAGCAATGCTAAAGCGGCACAAATTCTTGGAAGCATTCGGTCAACTTGCAAGGGAGCTAGAAGTCTCTGATGAGCTCTTTAAAGCGCTCGAAACTTTTGTATGTTTTCTTTATGGTTTCTCGAAGAATGAGGATGTGAATGCTGTGCGCCGATCCATCTTCTGGGACAAATTTACGAAAAAGAATCAAGTAGTGGACCTCAGCCTTCTGCCACCATGTCGAGATAACCTTAAGTTTCACGTCATGCGCTCTAACTATGTTGGTTACATATTCCGCAATGCTGACAGGCTTTTTATAGATATTGATAATCCTACAAACCACGGATGGGACGAAAAAATGAAGGTTGTTTGGAGTTCCGTATGCTACCCACCGGACGTGTCA